ATCCTAAGAGGAAAAGTTAACCATGAAAGATTTTAATCAGGAAATTGATGTGATCAGATTTATGTTTTGAGAAGACAATTTTGTTTAGTCCTGGGAGTAAGATTTAGAGGTTTAAAATACAGATACAAAGGAGACAATTTATTTAGGTAAACTAGATAAAATAAGTGGTTTTGGAACTATAAAAAAATAAATGAGTGGATTTGAAAATTGTTTAGGAGGTAAATTAACAAGACTTTGTGAGTAATTGATTGATTATAGAAAAGAGCACAGGAGATGCCAGGTGTGTGTAGCTGCATGGATGCTCGTGGTGTCTATAGAAATGGAGTCACTGAAGGAGAAACGTATTGAGGAAAGGTTGGAGACTTTGAGTTTTGAACATATCAAATGCACCATGTCTTCCAGAAATCCAAGTGGACATGCCAAATAGGTGTTGTAAACAAACAAGTGTAGCTTGTGGAATAGAAGTGCCCCAGTATATAAATCTGGTAGTGATTGGTGAGTACATGGAAAATAAAGAGATGGATGTGGCTGAAAAGACCTTTAGAAAATTATGAGAGAACAGATCCTGAATCCCGTCCTCCATGATCTCAAACATTTAAAGGCTAAATAAAAAAATACGACTCCACAGAATCTGAGAAAGAATAAGCCAGAGATGTAAGAGTTGAAGCCAAAGTGTGTTTGTTATGGGGGACCAGGGGCATTGGGGGAGGCAGAAGAATTTGTCAAAGAAACCTAAGGAAGATAAATTCTTTTTCAATCTCCATTTTTAAATTATCTTTCCATGAATTACTTTTTTTTAACCTTCCTTACTTATATGGGAAGATAATTCTTAGGAACATAAATTAATCAATACTTGGAATAATTTTGAAGTCAAATAAATGAGTATTGTGTTATATCCCTTGATTTTTGGTTACTTAGAGGTTATTTAGGTTATTCCTGAGCATTTCATAGAAATACACACTAAGTATATTATCTGCTTTGGCATTTGCTTATAATTGAAATTTTGTATATCAAATCTAACGAGTCTGCTGAATCATTTGTTACATCATTTGTTACATCTTCGAGGAATCATTTGTTACATCAATTCTCATCTCTAATGAACTATTAATACTTAAACAAGCACAGCTAAGAGAAATCAGACCCTATTATGTTTCCCTCTCTTCTCACAGCTACCTGCCACTGTGTAATTTACCTTACTGAAGTAGATACTGGTGTGGCCTGCTGTATCCCTTTGGTACACACCATTTTTGTGTACTGAATGCCAGGGAAATAACACCTCCTCCTCCATCCTAGGAGCAATTTTAAACAAAATACTACCAAGAAATGGTAAATATTCCATAAATACTCCTGTCCCTTGCTCATCAAGTAAGTTAACTCAGAGGCATATTCTACACTGACTCTCAGAATTCTACAGTGAGATTAAATTCCAGTCACCTTCAGAATAATCTACTCAATAACACAGGCTTTATTTACTTCCTTCCCTTCTTATCTCACTTCCCAGAGCTTCCTGATATTATTCTCCCCCACCCAAAAAAAGATAAGTTTCAGGGTCTCTTTGTTAGGACATTGTATTAGTCAGGGTTCTCCAGAGAAACAAAACCAATACAATGTATTTAATATATACACATAAAAGGAAACTTATTGTAAGGAATTGTCCACATGATTATGGATGTTGGCAAGTCCCCAGATCTCCAAGGTGAGTCAGCAAGCTGGAGACCCAGAAGTGTCAATGGTTTTGTTCTAGTCTTGAGTCTGATGGCCTGAGAACCAAGGGAGTTGATGGTGTAGTTCCAGTCCAAAGGCTGCAGGCTCATGATGCAGAAAGATCCAATGTTTCCATTCTAGTCCAAAGGCAGGAAAGAAGCTAATGTCCCAGTTTGAAGCCCATTAGGTGAGAAGAATTCTTTTCTACTTAGAGGAGAGTCAGCCTTCTTATTCAAGTAGGCCTTGAACTACTTGAATAAGGCCCACCCACATAATGGTGGGCAATCTTCTTCACTTAGTCTACTGACTTAAATGTTAATATCATTCAAAAACATCCTCACAGTAGCACCCAAAATGTTTGACCAAATATCTGGGCATCCCAAGACATTGTCAAGCTGACATAAAATTAACCATCACAGACACCCAAGTTAACACAAATGTTTCCCAGAATCAAATTTTTCTGATCTTTATTCTCCTACCCTTTTTCCCCATGAAACTTTTTAAAATAATGTCAAGGGAAAAATAAATTTTGCTATATGTATATTTTCTTCATGGTCAGAACTCTATGGGCCTCAATTTGATCAGAACAGTTCTGGTTTATACCTGTTACACTACATAATTATTGCTATCTCCTCTTTTACTTTTAAAAGTATCCTGCTCTGGGGACTAAATTATATGATAATCCTAGTCAATAATGATTCCATAAATGTGATGATAATTGAAAAATTAATAAAGTGTATTTAAATCTTTTATTCATTTTTTCTTCTGTTAAAAAAGTATAATGA